TTTTTTTTAATTATCAATTGTGCTTAAAGTGCTTGGTAGTATTATCCGCTATTCAGAGGGTGTACGACTCTAAACATAGGATACGCCATTCTTTCGTATGACGCGCAAAGTGAGCGATGTCGGGTCCGGAAATTTAGGTTAACCCCAAACTTCCTTCCAAGCTACCTCAGAAACCCGGATCGACTCAGTTAGATGATCGTAAGTTCATAATAATGATTCATCCGGGATGGATTTAAACCGATAAATGAGGGGAACGGCAACGATTTACTGCAGAACGTTGCACCCGTTTTCCTCCCATACCGCCGTCCAAACCGGTCCTGTACGTAAGCCTTAGGGCTCCCCGCAGATAATGCAACCGGCTCCGACTTCGGGTCAAGGTTTTCCCCCCGCTCTACGTTCAGTTTTCTTGGCACGCTGCCGCGCCAAGAATTCAGTATCGCCGTCCCAGAAATAAATTAGTTAGGCAGTTCTTGGACGACGGCTTCTTCGTTCCAAGTGTGGTATATCTCCGTTGCAAATTATATCCAAGAATTTTTGTTTTAGGCTGTAAATGCTTGCATTATGCGCTACGATGCTGGTATAATTCAATGGTATGATTTTCATAGAACCATGCATATTCTCCATGCTTTTCGGGTTTAACTTCTCCATCAGCTTCGAGAGGTCACTCCGTGATTTTAATACGAGGTGTTGTGGTATTTTTCGTACATTTACCGAGAGAATCGTGCTCTTTATATACTGCTCAGTATCGGCGCAGGCCCTCATCCGTGGATGGCTAGTAAGTGGAGCTTATGCCACCATACGCAGAGAGCTAAACCCTTAGCCTAGTTGCTTTGGATCAGTGATTCTTGCTCCTACAGGCGTGATTATTATTCTTTTTTCAAATCTGGACCTGCCTCTCGCTCCACTACGATAGAGGAATTTCCGGTGCTGCAGACGTACAGGTTAATAGTATTTCAAATTTCTTGGCCAACGCAAGGGTTTGAACACTAGATGTTTTAGTTCTTGGGGTAAATTGAGCTCAGAAACGAGATTATGCAGAATTACATCTCAGTATTGGAGCTCTCTGCATCGCCCCGTATTTTCGCCCATATGGGGAAACCTGGGTAAGCTGGTACCCTGCGGTATGGCTCTATGGGTGGAACCCCTCAGTTTAGGTCTTGGCATAGGAGTACCCTCCCCCAACGCGAACTAGATCTCCCGGGCTGCAATTAGTCTCCAAACATGTACTCCGAGGTGTTTACATGCTCAATA